GTTTAGAGATGAGATCATTGTTCTCTTGACTTAAACTCCCTTGTCCCCTCCAAATGTTTTGGCTCAGAAGGATCTTTGTTGAGTCTTTAGAGCCAAACAGAGTTTTGTAATATTGATAATGTGTTTTTTGAGTTCCATAGGATCTTCGATCTGTTCACAATTATCTTTCAAAGTTCTGTTTCTACTCTTCCTCTTTCTCCCATTGGCAACCCCATGAAAGAAAGTTGTATTAGAATCACCCTCTAAAATCCATTTTCCACCACTTCTCTCCTGCGAGTATACCTCATCCTCATGATAGATCTGATTTAACTTATCTTCTAGGAAGTATCTTTGTTCCCACTCTTCTAGTGATAGTTGTCTAAAGTCTGCATCCTCTTCCATCTATTGCAATCTCTTTTGTAGATCTACTTTAACTCTCTTCAAGTTATTTTCTGAGTTAAGTTTCCAACCTCTCATCTTCCTTCTCAGGATTGTCCCCTAACACTTCCAATTATGCAAGATTTTTTGTTTTCTCATCTCAGGCCAGTTCTCAATCAGCCTGCTCTTAAAGCCTTACTGAGATAACCAAGCTCTTTCAAATCTAACATACCACTTAGTCAGATTTGGTTGATGACCTTCTGGTTCCACCACAATGGGATTATGATTAGAACCCACTCTCAGCACTTCTAGACAAAGTAAAATGATACATATTCTCCCAACCAGCAAAAACCATAATTCTGTCTAAAACCACCCTCACTGGGTCTGTATGTTTATTAGTCCAGGTAAATTTGTTATCCAACCTATGCAGCTCTCTTAAACCAGCATCAGCAATAAAAGAATTAAAACTATCTGTCCACCTTCTGTTTATCAGCCCACTGGATATCTCCTCAGCATTTCTAATCACGTTAAAATCACCTCACATAATGATCTCATATTGACGGTCTGTAACTTTATTTAACAATTCTAGAAAGAAAGCTTCCTTCTTTTTCACTTTGAACTGGGCTATACACATTAATAATTGTCCATTTCTTGTTGTCCTTCTTAGATTCCACCACCATACCAATGTAGAACTCCCCTACATCTCTATCCAAAACATTGAACAGATCTGTGTTTATTCCTAGCAAAAGACCTCCAAAATGACCATTTGTGAGTTTAGTTAACCAGTCAAAATCCACCCCCCCCAGAACTGATATAACTCTCTCATTTTGAAACTCAGTCTAATAGTTTCCTACAAACAGATTATCTCAATTTTGTTGTCTTTCACTACCTCTTTCAGCTGTCTCCTCCTATCAGGGTTTCCTAACCCCCTCACATTCCAGAATAGAATATTCATTGACTATTGTTGTGTTTTGTGTCACCCCCATCAGCACTCAGCTCTATGCCCCTGACCTCGAGATGGGTGACACACATCCATCAATCTCTACATGATCAGGCAATCTATCAATCTCACCCTCTCTAGCTAATCTCTCCTTAGCTATGCAGAGAAGAGATTGAGCTTTTTATTTTGCTCTAATTATCTTAATGTTTTCTATTACTTCTAGCTCAGAACTACCTAGGTTGATACCAGAATCTAAAGCAATGGAAGCAAGTTTAGAATCATCAACATTGTTAAGTACAACAAACCTATTCATACCTGAGATGTCATTTTTAGCTGATGTTCTCTTCTAGGCCTTTAATGCTACTGGTACCTCATCTCTTACAATTCTTGAGCTTTATCTAGTCGCCACCACTAGACTCTTCTTCTTCTTCTTTAACTTCTTGGTCCTAGATTGGGTGAAGCCTTCAGCATCATCAGTCCTTGTCTGAATTTTCTCCTCTCCCGCAATCACTTCCAGTTGTCTTAGGTCTTCATCCATTAGATCCTAAAGTGAGAGATTTCCAGAATTACTGTTCTCCTGGTCTTTACTAACCTGATCCTCCCCACTTCTGTTTGTTTGTATGGGACCTTTATCTCCCCCTGGAGTTGATCTGACATTATCTATCATCCCTGTTTCCAAAGGAGTGTTGTCCTCCCTAGAAACAGAGCATGATCTTTTGGGTGCCCCACATTTGTTATCAGATGGGGCTCTGTCCCTCCCACATCTGTTGATAACTGTCTCTTCTGTCAGTAAGTCTCGCTTTGACAAGATTGGAGTTTTTTCCTCTATTCCCTTTTGCTGGGGATAGGTCTGCATTTCTTTGTCTGAGGAGACATCTTCTGATAGCTTAGGGAAGTAATCTGGAATATCAACCTTCCCATCTTCATCTTCAGATTCCATAAACTCTTCCTCCTCTTGGTTGTCTCCTTGTTTTATTTGTTAAGAGAGCTCTGTGTTGTAGTTGATTTCTTCTCAGATGCTTTGTTTAACTGCTCCTCTTCACTATCATTATCTTGACCATCATCGTCTTCTTTTCTCCTTCTGAAGTCTTTCTTATATCCAGGTTCGGGGTCTTCTGGTGGGAAGGACTGCTTAACTCCCTCTGGATTACAAGTAATCTTTTAACCAATTTTATGCAGAAATATTTCAGAGGTTCCAAAATTTTTTGAAGGAACTTTGCAAAGCACCTTCACCCTAACTGTCTCTCTAATAAGGCTGATGGCATCCACTTCCACAGGGTCTCCAATCAAGTGAGCAATTTTCATCATGATTTTCTCACTCCTGGCAATTGATGGAACACCTTTAGCTCTCACCCATACTTCCTATAATTCAGCAAAAGCATCAATGGTTCTTTCAGTATCCCTAACATTTACTCTAGCATTTGATTTCTAAAAATCAAACCCTCTCAATCTTTTCAGCTCTCTTCTTGTATCTTTGGATGGGAATTCTATCAGAAATTTGTTGTTGTCAACCTTTTTAACCTTCCAATCCCATTGCTAATGTTGTTCAAGGAGGTATTTTAGCTCAGCAACAATTTTAGACTCTGAACAAACCCCACTCTCCAAAGCTAACAAGCCCACCACAGGTTATTTCATCACCTCCTCATCTGAAATTGCAATATGCAAACAATGAAACACTTGTCCTAGCATCCCATCTCCACATAACTTCAAACCTTCCTCTTTGTTCAGATCAGGGTAATTGGTTGAGATATGACTCGATTTCTTACAAGCATAACAACACGGGGGATTAGTGCAGATGCTTGTTGATGACCCCCTTTTTGCCACACTTGTAACACTTCTTCGCAAACTCCTCTTCCTTCCCATCTCTCACATCACGAGAATCAACAGGACGCTTTTGAGAATCAAGGCGAAACAAATTCTCACCTCGTGGATCATTCACCCATTTCCCTTTCTTCATGGCTGCTGGATCTGCATCACGTCACCAGCTTTCCGCTGCGAGACACTGCTGATCTTGTCGCTTGGCATCTTCATCAGCTTTGGTAGGATTTTCCTCCTTCCTCCGCTCGAACTCCCGTCGCAGCTTATCCCTGAGATCTTCCTCCTCACGCCTTGCAGCTAGTTCATCCCACCGCTCCTGATCTCTCTCATCAGGCCTCCTCTTGTTACCAAAACGCGGTTGATCTCCCCTTCTCCTCTCCATCTTCCTCTCACCTACCACCTCTGCAAAGGAATGGGAATCAACGAATCTAGGGTAGATTTTGAAGATGTGCCTCGCTCTCTCCCCAAATCGCCGGATCTCCTCTCGCTTCGTTGGAAACCCTAGCGTAGTAGCGTTGACTCATCGAGACGCTCCCCTTTGCGGATCCAGATCCACTTCACCTGTTTTGTGGACCACGAGTGATCAATTAGTTCCTCTAGACTTGAGCCGAACACTTGGGTTGTGAATCCTCGCTACAGCGTGTGGGCTTCGAGAGCCTAGATGGCCTCAGCGAAAATTCCTCTCCCGCCATAGATGAACTTGAAGCTCCCGCCGCCTCTCGAATCATTTCCCTCTCTACGCGCTCATGAAAACTACTGGAAACTGTGGAGATCACCCCAAAATTCTTCCTCCGCGATTCCCCAGCGAGGTCTCCGAGCTGCACGCAAGCAAGCACCTCCCCGAATGTGAATCCCCGTCGAGGACTCGGGGATCGCCACCATGGTGATTCCCTTTCTAGGGTTTCACTCGCCTCCGCCATCATTTCTGTATACCTTTCCCTGTGGCCTTCTATCATTGGTTGTTTTCCTGATCGGCACTAATATGTCTTTGCCTCTCGGTGATATTAACCGAGAATTATCGGTCAACTGTAGTGAGGTCAACACAACACGAGAGAGCCAATCTATGCAGGACCAGGTCATGTGCACATGGATCAATGACGGCAACGAGAGTGTGTGAAAGACTAGTGGCCTCGGCCCTCGGCCAACAAGTTTGGGATGAGGGAAGAAAGTTCTATGGACCATATATAGGTAAAAAGAGCCTGATCCGGTAGTGTACACAAAATTTCGAAATGGTAGAAAAGTTTTGTCGACTTCGCCTAGAAAGCTAACGGTGGAAGCAAACATCTAAATGCCGGCAACGCTAACGGAGGGGCATTTAGATGTTTGCCGGCAACGCTAACGGAGGGGCATCTTCCCCTTCTCCGCTGGCAACGCGGCAAGAAGACGGCACCAGCCATCGGTGCCGCTGGTCGTGTTCTAGATTAGGAGGGAACCTGCAACAAACTTGCAAACAACCATCTTCCCTTCCTCCACAGATGTTCAGATCCTTGTCGGCATCGCCTGCCTATACTGTCGAGTCGAGTTGAGTTATTAGTTCTTATCGCTCTCTGTGGATCGAGTTGACTTGACTTAGCTTTTGGGTCTTTTAATTCCTCCCTTAGGCATCTGTTGACCGAACGGCTGGGTGACGGATGTGGTATTTTTGGGAAAAGCCACTATTTTTTTTTACTGTCTTGCCTAGTTGCCTGTGATATCAATATATACTTCAGTTCTGTATATAAATTTGCACGTGTACGGTGTACCCCTGCATTTTACTAGCTAGTCTGACCGTCCACATGCAACGCTCCAACTAGCGCGCGGTGACCTTTTTTTTTCACATATTCCTAGGTCGTCGGCTCGTCGCTGCTTAAGAAACCCACATCCACATCCCCTTGTCAACGGATAGGCAACCATGATCATTCCCATCGTCCTGCAGCTGCTCATCATCCTTGGCAATGGCATGGCGATGGTGGCCGCCCAGCCATGGCACACCTGCGGCGCCAGCAACTACACCGCCGACAGCATGTACCGGCTCAACCTCGACGGCATGTCGGCGTCGCTCTTTCCCGAAGGCGCCGGCGGCTCCGGCGGCGGCATATTCGTCAGGGGCTCCTCCGGCGCCGACCCGGACAAGGTCTACGCCGTCGCGCTCTGCCGCGGCGACGTCGACGACGCCCCCGCCTGCAGCTCCTGCTTCGACGCCGCGTTCAGGCGCGCGATGCAGCTGTGCCCGCGCAGCAAGGACGCCACCATCTACTACGACGAGTGCCTCCTCCGCTTCTCCGACACGGACATCCTCAACATGGACTCCGTCCGCCGTCTCAACACCTCGGAAATAGTCCATGGCGCGCTTGTCCTGATGAACCTCACCTCGGAGCCCATGCTACCTGGCCGGTCTACGGCGACGGCGAACTTCACCGGATTCTTGAAGACGATGCTGACCGACGTGGTAGGGCAAGTTCTCTCCACGAGGAGGCACTACGCGGCGATCCGCATGGAGATGGACGACGGGAGCAGCAGTAGCACCACCGCAGTGCCGCGGGAGTTCTACTGCTTGGCGCAGTGCGCGCCAGACTTGATTGAAGATATATGCTACAGCTGCCTCACGAATTTCAGCGATCGGCCGGTGGCGAGCTTCCCTGGGCGGCAAGGATGGCGTGTTCTTGGTCTGTGGTGTAATCTGAGGTACTCCCTCCCTCCCTCCGTTTCATATTAATTACAAGTCGTTTGATATTTTTTTAAGTCAAACTTTATTAAGTTTAATCAAGTTTATAAAAAGTTTAACATCTAAAATATGAAATTAGTTTCATTAAATCTAGCATCAAATATAGTTTGATAATGTGTTTGTTTTGTTGTGAAAGTACTAATATATCTTTTTATAAATTTGGTCAAAATTAAAGAAGTTTGATTAGAAAAAAGTCAAATGACTAATAATATGAAATAGGGAGTATGGTTTTGGTTATTTCACAACCCTACCTAGTGTTTCTCAAAAAATTTTCGGAAATGCTCAATACAGGGATACCATTGCTAGCGTTCAGGACGGGATCGTCATCCTCTCCCAGCCTCACGCACTTACGGATAAGAATGGCCACAACCAGGTTTCGTTTCATGGCGGTGTTGTGGCTGAGACAGCCTATTTCGTGTGAGGTTGCGGCGTGGTGTCAGTCGCCGTAGGCGTCATATCGTTACGCAGCGCAACTACTCGTGCCAGTTGAGGATAGCGGCGACGCGCGGGGCTTGACCGCCGTCGCAGAATCGAAGAGAGGTGCCGCGTTGAGGAGCAGCGCGAGCTCGGCATCGGAGCTGATGGACGTGGGTTGTCGCGACAGTCGGGAATGGAGCTGTCGCCGGAGTGGATAAACGTGGAGCAAGGAGGACACGGCCACCGCTGACGAGCTCCGACTTGGCGTGGACAGAGGAGGATGCGGCCGTCTGCGACGAGCTCCGGTGTGGGGCATGGATGACGGAGGACGCGACTACCGCAACGAGCTTCGGCGTGGGGTGGAGGATGCTGCCGCTGGTGACTAGCTCCAGCGTGAGGCGTAGATGACGGAGGACGCAGGCCACGCGACCGCTAGTGATGAGCTCCGACGTGATGTGGATGGTGGAGGATGCGGCACGCTGGCGACTAGCTCCAGCGTGAGGAGTGGATGACGGAGGACGCAGCCGCCGGCGATGAGCTCCGACGTGGCATGTACCGTGGAGGATGCCGCCGCCTGACAAGCTTCGGCATGAGACGTGGACGGTGGGACCACCGGCGATGCCCGGTTCCTAATACCTGACAGGTTTCACCTGATACTTCACAAGTATCACTTGATACGTGGTAAGGATCACTTGATACCTGACAGGTTTCACCTGATACCTGACAAGTTTCACCTGATACGTGGTAGGAATCGCCTGATACCTAACAGGTTTTACATGATACTTCGCAAGTATCACCTGATATGTGGTAGGAATCGCCTGATATCTAACATGTTTCACCTGATACCTCGCAAGTGATCTATCACCTGATACTGGTTAGGTATCACTATTAGGATATGATAACTCAAAGGTATCAGGACCAGATACCTGACCGGTATCATTCTGTCCCAACGGGATTCTATTGTACAGCAACCCTCAATATTTTTAGGTCCACCATCAAAAATGAACAAAAGTTCAGCCAAGTAGCCACCCCTATTTTAGATCAAGTCCTTAAATTTTATAGGCTGAAAAGGTTAGAGCCTTTACCTAGGTACGATACGAAGAAGTTCTACACTGGCGCGCCCACGTGGAGCTCCGGGTCGTCGGCGTCGAATGCTATTGTTCCAAGTCCAGCACCGCAGCCAGCCTCGCTGCCACCACCAACGCCAAAACACAAGAGTAAGCACATTATTACATGCCCTTTAATTTCTTTCATTCCATTTTTCAAGCTTTGTAACCAAACTGACCATTTGCATCGTACTAATAACTAAATAGAGCCGATAAGCAAAGTTTTGGCCATTGCCTTGGTAGCTCCACTACTTGCATTGTTTATCTGCGTCATCGTTTCCTTCATATTGACAAGGCATATAAGGGGAGAATTTACTATTTGCCTAAGAGGTCAGCTATCTACATGGAAATGTACTATATGCAATTAATGTGTATGAGTGTGTAAGCTAAATTAACTGAAAGTATCACATTAACTCGTAATTTAGGTAAGATGAACACGCAAGAAGATGAAGCACTAATTTGGGGACTAGAAGGAAGGAGTTCAGAATTCACAGTTTACGACTTTTCCCATGTATTAGAGGCCACAGGTAATTTCTCAGAAGAAAACAAACTTGGGCAAGGAGGCTTTGGTCCTGTATACAAGGTGAGACGGGAAAGAAAACACAAGCATGAGCCTACGCCCTACATATAGAGGCAAATCAAACAGTTTTACATATTATTCATTAATTTGCATATTATAAAACGCAATTAACTCACTCTGCTTTAGCTGATTAAGTTGGTCGTAATATTAGTCAAGTTTCAAAAGACAATTGAAACTGACACTTGTGTCACTAATCCATCTCTTTTGCACTTGTCTCTAGGGCCGATTTCCTGATGGGGTGGAGATAGCAGTTAAGAGGCTTGCTTCTCATTCAGGGCAAGGCTTAACAGAGTTCAAAAATGAAATTCAGCTCATAGCTAAGCTCCAGCACACAAATTTGGTTAGGCTCCTGGGATGCTGTTATCAGCGACAGGAGAAAATACTAGTATATGAATATTTGCCAAATAAAAGCTTGGATTTCTTCATTTTTGGTATATAATTTTTGGTTTATTATCTCTAACTGTCAAAGTTACTTTGTTTATATATCTCATATCTGTGTTGAACTGATTTGTAGATGAAACAAGAAGAGCTTTAGTAGATTGGAATAAACGCCTTGCGATAATAAATGGGATAGCACAAGGACTTCTATATTTGCATAAGCACTCTCGGTTGCGTATCATTCATAGAGATCTCAAAGCAGGCAACATTCTATTGGACCATGAAATGAACCCTAAAATTTCAGATTTTGGGCTTGCAAAAATATTTAGCACAAATGATACTGAAGGGAATACAAAAAGGATCGTCGGGACCTAGTAAGATTCTTACAAATTCATACATCCTAGGCTCCTAGCTGTACATAATACTGCCAATACTGCTGAGTGACTTCAATGTTTCCTACATATATACTATCCTTTCAGTGGTTATATGGCTCCAGAGTATGCTTCCGAGGGCCTTTTCTCAATCAAATCTGATGTATTCAGCTTCGGTGTGCTAATTCTCGAGACTGTCAGTGGAAAAAGAACATCAAGTTTTCATCGGCATGGAGACTTTATCAACCTTCTTGGACACGTAAGTATTATTATCATATAAATATGTAATGGTTCGAGTTCCTAATCTCCCGAAAATGGAAAGGACACAGTTTTGAATGGCATGGTCGGCATTGTTTTCATCATAAGTCCTGTTTCTTTGTTTTTTCACTTCTTCTAGAGTCATAGAAGATCATGAAGATCGCTTACATATTTTGAAAGGCACGATGTAACATGGCATCTTAATGTTCGTCTTTATCTTTATCTTTGTAGGCATGGCAGATGTGGAAAGATGAAACATGGCTTCAACTCGTAGATACATCATTAGTAATAGAGTCTCATACACCAGAGATGGCACGATGTATTAACATTGCTTTGCTTTGTGTGCAAGAGAATGCCGCAGATCGACCCACTATGTCAGAGGTTGTTGCGATGCTAACCAGCGAGAGTATGACCCTACCTGAGCCTAAGTACCCTGCTTTTTACCACATGAGGGTGACAAAGGAAGAGCCATCAACTGTTATTATGGTATCTAGTGCTAATGGTATCACACTGTCTGTTGTAGATGGTAGATAGTTCTCAATTGTTGTTTTGGGTCATCTCGTGTCAAAATATTTTGTATTGCACATTGCTCCATTGAAGAACTTTATCTGCTTTTGTTCTCGATAAAAATCTTTACAATAGAAACTTGTATGCTTAGATTCTATTTGCGTGTGTTATCTCCTATGGGGGATGCCAGTCAGACAAGCCATGTATTTTTATACAGACTTGACAGCTTCATAGTAATAACCCTATGCCAGTCAGCACTCCTCATAGTAATAACCCTATGTCTTGACAGCCTGGGTAGGCTTGTTGCTTTATTATTATATGAACACAAGTATAAATGGGTGTATATGTCTATCTTAGGCCAATCTGCTAGTCTCGTTGAGGATTCCAACAAGATGGTGGTCAGATGTATGGAAGCTTGGCTTTAGTGGCTCTTGGTGGATCGAAAACTAGATCTCAAGAGGGCTTCTTAAGTGTCATGGCTTGGGTTGATTGTTGTGCTGTTGGGTTCCTCCTTAATCTCTTTCATAGGGCTAGGCCTTTCTACCATAGTCCTCACGCATCCGAGGAGGACTCATAGTGGTAGTTTTATTAATCTTCGGTTGAGTCCTTGGTGAGCGCGAGTAGGTCCACTGCAGTCTTCCTCAAGAAGGTCTTGGTTTTCATATGTGATTGGACTGTAATTCCTTACTTTGGGGGGGGGGGTGTTTCCTTTTCATAGATGTATAAGTGTTCTATATGGATATTTGGTGCTTTCGTAAGTCTCAGGGGCATGCCATATTTTCTACACGATATATGGTAGCCCTTGAATCCTGTTTGGAATGAACATCGGCCAGGAAATCATGCAAGATAACTTGGTTGGAATGATTCCGAACAAGGAGGGAGTGACGATGGTCAACATGCTTGATCTGCATGAAGTGGTTAACATGAAGCAAGTGGTCAGTCTCGGATCTGTCATCATCCTCGATGATCTTGGAGGCATCACATGAGGTCAAAACATGATTGGATGAATCTAATGTGTCAACCATATATTTTCAGTGAACACTTGAGAACAAAGCAATTAGGGGCTCTGGAAAGCGAATGTTGACGTACGGTCGTTAAGTACCGATTTCGACTGTCAACTACCATAATAAATTAAAGGTGAACTAACATTTTTTTACACGTATATTAGTAATAAATAATGTAGTTCCACTTCTATTGGAGAAATACTTGTATGAAAAAATTATACATTAAAGTGAAGGAGAAATGAGCTAGCATGCAAAGAAACATACCTCCGGTGAATCACATGCGAGCACACGGAACGATGGGCCCACAAGTAAGCTCAAACCGACTAAAAGTGGGGGGCCAAACCGTCCTCAACCACTATAGGGGCCCACGTGCGGTGATTAGTGAAGTCGGTGGCGAGAGGTGGGGTCCAGGCCAAGGTTGGCCGAACCAATCATAGCCCCTCTCATCACCACCTTACATGTGGACATTCTAGAGAGCTCCCGAATGACAGTTACAACTACACCAATCTCTACAACCGCCTTACAACCGTCTTTACAAGGCTATAAATAGTTAAGGCCTTTTCACTTCACAACATACACCTCAAGGAGCAATTCTCTAATTCCATATATTGTATTCTCTCTAGTTGTAGTTCAGTTAGGCTTGGAGTAGTCTTCGGTCCTATAGTCTTCTCGAAGATTCCGGTATGTCTTTAGTAATTTACTCCTCTTGTAAGACTATAGTTTAATAAGGTAATTATCTTCTTATCGGGTTCATAGTTTATGTAGTAGTCAATTAGGTATGTGTTCTATGAATAGTTTATACTTCATTTATGTACTTGACCTAGTCGATCTATGCTACGGTAATGGTCCAATGATCTTAACGGTTTGTACTAGTTCTAACTTGTCCGTACGAAGGATGGGTGTCCTAGAGGAATTAGTGATATTATTTATTAACATAAACATGGTGCTTAGGTTAGTTAAATGCCGTTGGATGCGGGTATGCCTCACGGAACGTGAGGTAGGTGGCAAGTGGTAACAACCATGTCCGTCCTTTATATTCCTCCACGTCCGGGTATGACATAAGATTTTGTAAATGCCATAACCACGCTGGCAAACCAACAGGAAGTGGTCTCTCGGTAGTACCTAGGTGCCTAGAACTAAGTCCTAGTCTTGTAAGCATGTATGTATTAAGTGTATACTAAACATTATTAGTATAGATCTACATATGAACCTTAGCTCTCTTCAGTTCTTCTCCATTGCCTAGTGTATCTTTATTAGGTGAATCTCCCGTCTGTCACACTACCCATTTATCATATTATCAATTAACCCCTGTTTAGACTATGGTAAAAGTAACTATAGTAATGATATATGAACCCTATCTTTACACCGCCGCCTTCCTTGCGGAAATATAAATACAATACCCTTAGAATACTCCTAGGTGAAATGCTACAGTAGTATTCGTGTATTTGTCGATTCATCTGTGACCGTAAGAAATGCCAACAAGCATTTCTAGCACCGTTGCCGGGGAAGGCCCTAGTTAAAGAATATATTTCATATATTCATAATCATAACTATGATTAGTGAAGCTTGGTCCAAAAAGGTTAAACTTTATTTGTTCTCTTTATGTGAAAGCAGGTAAGGTATGACCAGTTTCGACTTGCCTTTAAACTTCGTTGATAATCTAGAGAAACTTACGAGAATAGTCCGACCTTGCGTCGTTCCTCCGCAAATCATGCTCCTCTCATCTCCACCTTCCACGTGGACGTCCCTGATGGTCTCCTAATGACGTTTACCGGTGCATCGACCTCCACAACCGCCATTCCAACCATCATTGGCACACTATACAAGGAGGAGCTCATACACACTCCAATTTGCACAACAAAATAGAGTACAACTCACTTTTAGACTTTACTTTAATATGTTGGCTTGAGTAGAGAGTGAGGGGAAGCTTCCGAACGAGTGCCCCAAAATATCGGAGTTCATCCGAGAATTTTATGGAGTGCTGGACTGTCGGCATACTTCCAAAGGAGTTTTGGAGAAAGCTAGGATTGTCAGTCTTCTTCTCTCGCTTGTACCTCAGCGGATGCTTCCTTTTATAAACTAAGTATTCGAGTTTTTATGTTCTTTAATTAGTTTTTTAAGTATGATATATTCTCATCGGTGCGGATTCATTGCTTAGTGTGCAACTGAGTGCTCTAGTACTAGGACTCTGGATGAAAAGGAAACTTCTGCGCAAGGCTGGAGTAGTAATTAATAACTTAGGTATGGTGTCTAGGTTGAAAATTACCTTCGTATGTTGTGTGCTCCACGGAAAGTGAGGTAGGCAGTAGGTGGTGATAGCTATGTTCGTCCTTTATATCCCTCCATGTTAGAGAACATCATAGAGCTCAAGGCCAGTCTCATCCTGGCAGGCCAAGGGAGAGCCAATGCTCGAAGCATTCGATAGAGTTTTACTTTTAACTTAAGTAGCTAACTGAAAGACATAGGAATCCTCTCTAACCAAACTATCATCAGTTGTTGTCCTTGGATTGAATTTTGTTCATAGATAGTACACACACGTTCCTTGTGTTCGATATCCTTGAAATACTCTAAGGGAAAGTGCTACAGTGGTATCCGTGCACTTGTGGATTTATATGTGTGCATAGCAAATACCAACACCGACTGTAGTGCAACCAAATAATATCCAGGCACCTTGAGCGGATATGTGAGATTGTCTAGATCGTGCACACAGTGGTCGAGAAGCACGATAGCATCTTATAGGATCAGCGTAACTAGGCTTGTTGGTTTTGCTCGACTTGCCATAGAGAGGGGGGAGGTTTTGCTCCATATACTTGAAAATTTGAGAGATATCTATGTGTTTGGGTGCTCAAAGGTTAGTTCATCTTTATTCTCTCTCCATTTTCCCTCATTTGTTGTGAATTCAATGTTAGATTCTTTTTGCAAGAAGTTTTTATGGTAAATTGTGTCTCATGGATTGCTAAATTCATTAGCACAATTCGCTAATTTCTCTTGTTGAAGTAGATCTATTTTTCTCATTTTGAGTTCAATTTAATTAGTGCTACCCTTTTATGGTCGATAGCAATTATATTATGGGATAGTGATATTTATTTGATAAATCTAGGTCACCTATAAATAGTAGAATCGAGTAACTAGGAGATTACATTGGTTCTTTTTAGTAAGTTGTAGTATATATGATGACCTATGAACTATGGATTGTGATGTTTCCACAGATATAGGTGACCTATTATCTTCAAGTAATTTAGAGATCATACACTAGTTTTACTGTAAATGATGCCGACTTATTTATTTTATTAAGTCAGGATGGTCATATGTTTTGATAATGTTGGTCTTGGACTGAAAATCAATAAATCTAGGTCTTGTATTGTATTTCTTTAGTAAGTGATATATATTTGTTGATGTTTAATTTAAATAATTTCGTAGGTAGCAAGATTTGAAATAGAGCAACAATGGATGTACGATGCATCGTGTGGCTCGCTAGAGTATTTCAGGGAAATGACCTACTTCATGATTGTGATGACTTGAGTTCCGAATTATAGGATGCATTAGAATACTTGCCTTGTCCAAGCATTGATTGCATGAGTGAGGCTGTTTCATGCCCAACAAGTTCACTCACATGCCTATCTGTATATTTCAAAACAACCATGGTAAGGATGATGATGTAGAGAGTGAAGGAGGCAGTCTAGAGGCGTCGAATGACAAATGTGGATATGAGACTAATGAACTTGATATAATCAGATCATATGTTGTGGAGAGAGGGGCTACACCAATGACAGGGACTTTGAGAAGTTCAAGTCCATGGTAAAGGACTCAAAAGTGTTGCTTTACCCTGGTTGCAAAAAGAAGCACACTAAGTCGCATGTCATCCTATTACTACTAAAGATGAAAGTACACAATGGTTATACTAACAAAAGCTTCACAGAGTTGTTATCGCTGATAGGAGATCTTCTTTAGAAACATTGTATAAAGCAAAAAGGTTGTCTGCCCACTTAGAATAAAAGTACGAAAAATTCATGCATGTCAAAATGGCTATATGTTGTATCAGGGTGAGTATATCGATTGGATGCGTATCCATTGTGCAAAGCATCGCACATATAAGGGCAAGGATGGTGATGGTGATAGTGATAGCACCGATATGAAGAAGAAACAAAAATACACATTAAGGTGATGTGCTCCTATTTCAAGGGTGAAAAGTTAATCCCACAATGTAACAACAATGTGCCATATATTCAAAATATTGTTAGCTAGCTCAGGTTTCCGAAGTAGGGGTGGAGGATTGTTTGGGCTTATAGTGATGGTGGGTGGAGTGGCTGACTGGCGTTGGGAATCGGTGGCGATGTTAATCCCAGGTCCAAAGAGGGCATTGGGCAGGGAGAATAGTGCCCGGGGAGGAACGGGCTTGCGCGGCATGTTTAAGAGGTGGTGGCACTGCTTACAGCTATATCTTGGGTAGGAGAGGTGCGGTTGGGGGAGACTAAATGGCAAAGAGCTAACCTGATTGTTGGGAGAAGCACGTTGGAGGGAGGCCATGATGGGGCTTCGAATTCACCGGCATTATGGAAGAGGAAGAATCACCAAGCCACCCTGCCCACCTGCTCTTCCC